AGGAAATCATCATCACGTGCTTTCAGATGGAGCAGCATTTACTACACAGAGCCGTAGTTCACTGACAAGTTACGGAAAAAAATCGCAGACGATTTATTGCGCGATTATGAAATCGAAGAAATCGTTCGCGATAATGATAGCTGTTTGCATAGCTTCTCAGTGAACTACGGCTCTGTGAAGTAAATGCTGCTCCATCTGAAATTATGTGAAAATACCACATTTAATAACATATTTTGACTCCAAACTCACTTCATAATGTCAGTCGAGTGTATGAAATAATCCTTCTGTGAGATGATGTGGCTTCTTACACAGAATAAGGCACGCAACATATTTCATAGTATTTAAGCAGTGATAAAGGCATTGCATTATAAATATACTTTATTTTAATGAAAATTATAATAAGAACTCAGATAAACCGTATATTGCCGTAGTCGTGTGTTTATTAGTCACGTTGAATCAATGAAAGCAGTTGAATCTTCTGTTTATTCAGCTGCAGCGATTTTCTGGGTTTCTTTTGCGAGGCGTATTTGGAGTTTCAGTGCGAGAGCGCCCTCTGGCCTTTGGATGGAGATTTACTGCTGATCACAGAACCGTGCTTCACTGAAAGATACGCATGACAATCGCAGCTTCTGTCGAATCGCGATCTCGATTCCATTTCGATTTATCGTGCAGCCCTACTGTATATGGATCATGATTTGTGTTAATCATTCAGTACCATGGTATATACCAAAATACTATGGTATCACCAAATGTTTTACCATAATTTTACCTTGTTGCCATATTTGTTGTAAGAGTTAATGCAGAAATCAGATTGTATTATTATTGATATTTATTATCAGTCTTAAATTTGATATTTCCAGTCTTAGATTCATAATGTACCATAGTAAATATCAAAGTATAATACCATCATTGTACCATGGTACCACTAGAGTAGCTTTTTGTAAGGGTTAATGTAGAATAATCAGATTTTATTATTAATATTGATATTATTTTCTTATTTATTTTACATACTTAGCCTAAATCATGAATATGTTAATCATTCAGTATGTATCAACATATAACAGTATTTCCTTCTGGTTGCATCACTAGGCCCTATATCACGTTATTGCCACAGTATTATTCTTTTTTAGTGTTTGTGTTGAATAAACAGATTTTATATTTATATTCTAGCCTCTAAATTTATTAAACACTAATATGTAGCACAATTTAGTAAAGTCCACCAATATGAATCAGTAGCACAATCATATTTTGAATATTGAAACACAAGCATCCTTTCTGAAGTGTAGCTATGACTCTGAGTATGTGTTCAGGGGCCTGTGGGAATGTGTGTGCCATTGTTGTGTTTGGTGTCTTTTAGGCTGTGGAGGGTTAATTATACTCCCTCTGACTCCCTCTTTGTCTTTGATAGGGCCACTTACAGCATATGGCCACAGCAATACAATAGTTTATTTGTATGATATTTGATGAGTGGTTTTTAATTTAGATTGTCACTTCTGGCAACCAGCAGGGCAGATGGTGTAGATTTGAATGCCCATCAGAGCCTAAACATCCTCGAGGCAGCTGTTGCTAATAAACTTTTTTCCCCTTGTTTTTTCCCCTCTGTTTTCCCCCACGCAACACGTTTTAGGTCAAGAGGAGTCAAACCTGTTACAACACCTGTTTCTGCATATGTAAATTGGTTGTTTTGTCATTTCATTAAACAAGAAAAAAGGCAACAGTCCCTTGTGGTTGCAAATGCGACTGGCATCGAGCCCACTTGGCAGGGTGAAGACTGTGAGGGGAGGAGGGAAAGACACGTAAAAGACAACTGCGGTTTGTCTCACAAGACCGCAGGGCCGTTGGATGCCGCTTCCGTGTGAGGATGTTTTCCGAAAGGGCCTCAGTGGAGAATACCCCCCCCACTCTTTTTTTTTTTCTTTGTTTTTTTTCTCTCCGGAAGTTGGAACCTGGCACACGCGTGGCTGGCACACACTCTTGTTCAACCCCCACCGCCGTATTCCCTTTGCCCTCTCATCATGCCGTCATGTCAGAGCTCGACTCAGAGCCACATGTGCCGGTCCCGTGTGTGCGCTGCCTCTGGGGCTAATTGCCCCAACCGCTGGTGCATGACGATTTTAACCCAAAAAGCATCTTCGTATCCTTATATACATTCCCTTTCTCTCTCACCCACTGCACTTTTCCACCCATTTCTGGGGTAAGTTGTGGGATTTGAGTTGTAATCCCATCTGTGTACGCAGGATGCAACAAATATGGTGTGAAATTAGAGGTTATTCCTCTGCTTTGAAGATTACTGTCATCGTTGTTGAAAACACAGCTTTGTATGCTGCACCGTTTGTTGTATTAGTTACAAGTGTCCATCTTACCTTGAGGTACACACTGTTATTCCCCTACCTGGGTGTTTTAATTTGGCCGTTGATCCGAAAGCTACCCTGGGTTTGGCTCGGACAGCCTCCTCTTTGAGGGTCCCCGTTGTGTGTTAATCTCCCTGGGCCGCTGAGGTATCCTTCCTGTGATTTAGCGCCTCTCCGCGAGCCTCTCCGGAGCACCACGCCATCTCTCTGTGATAGGGAAGTTCATTAGGGATGTGCCTTTGATGGGGCAGCTTTTCATGTGACGGCGCTCTCAAATACCTTGATGTAGAAGCTTAAGAAGCCATTGTGCCGCAAGCGCGTCTTATTTAGATCTGCATAGTAAATCGACCCGAGTAAATACGGGAAGAAGCAGATGGAAGCAAGGAGATAAGGCCCAGACGAACAATTGCATTTGTATTTTGTTATGATGTTGACAGCAGCTAAAATTCACTAATCTAGCGCCACTGATCTGCATTTCAAAGAAATCTAATTTAGCAGCAGGGAGGATAAAGTTCTTTTCATTGTGGTCGCGCTTCTTTTTTTTTTTTTTACTTGCATTCTTCATTAATTTATCTGCTGCAGATTTAACGTTGGGCCGGGCGCAAGCATGCTGCATGTTGCAAAGGGGATCTTAAATACCCTGAAAGCGGTAACGTCTAGACTGTGAACCGGGGGTAATTACACGTCCGCTGATGAATGGAGGGAGTTTGAAGACTCATCTTTGTTCGGGGGGCCTGAATTGCTTGACTAGCACTGATAAGGGCCGTTCGGCCCTCAGTCAAAATATATTATGGTGGCTTCCACCTCCTAACACGGGAATGGTATTTACTTGAAAAGGTAAAAAATTATTGTGTACTGTAATCTGACTTATTCGCATAATTCGTCTTCTTTCATCCACACACCCAGCAGAGGGGCCGGAGAGGTATTCCTGCCCTTGATATGAAATAGTTTATCGCGACTTTTAAAACCGGGCTTCATGTAAATATTAGACAGTGGCATTAGGACAGCCTCTGGTAAATGCAGTATGTGTGTATATAATTTGATAGTATTTAGAGATCTCAAATTGAAATGGGTCTGGCATTTTGTAAACTCGTCACCACGAGGTCATGCGAGCTAATAACATTGGAAAAGTCGATTTAAAAGGTGAGTTTTCACAGTCCAAAGACATTGTTGTATTAACACAAACTCGGAGGAAGTTGGAAATGAACGGGACATTAACGCTTTTCCAGAATGATTATTCAGAGCTTTTTATATCGCGTTTCATTTCCAGAGTTTGTGTACACATGTGCGGACAAAAATCACTGACAGAACAGTCTTAAATATAATCCCTCAATCAAATGTTGACTGAGCCAATGAGCTTAAATATACACTATTTGTGCTCCTAAACTGATTGTACTTCCAGAATTACAAACACATATACGTGCATGTGTAATTGAGCGCGGAAGATGTGTATATTAATACTTGGGCTAATAGACAGTTTGTGCTATTTACTATAGTTTGTGTTTGGAGAAACGCTGTCCTAAGCAAACCCCCTCCTCTTTTTGTACAGTTCAGAGAGCACATTCCATGGGATCCTGAAGTTTTTAGTTGCCTACAGGGGTCTTTGGAATTCTGGGACAGGGAGAATCCGAAGCCATTCGGATGGTTTGTGTGTGTGTGTCCAATACTGTTGCTTCACAAGTGAACTGTACTCTTCAAAAAAAAGAAGAAATATGTTACAACTTGCAGTTTTTTTTTTTTTAATGAGGTGAACTGAGCTGTACACGCTCATTTAGTCTAACATATCTGTGAGTGTCAGCAGATATGTTAGACTAAATGAGCGTGTACAGCTCAGTTCACCTCAGCAGGAAAAAAAAAACGGTAGAAGCCTTGATGGAAAGTTTTATTTATGCTCTGTTAGTTTTAATCTGCCAGGCATGGCAAGCTGTTTCGAGGGCAAAACATTTTCTCTCATTTCTGATGCATATTATTATTCTGGGTGTAATGTCAATTTGAAATGCAGACGAAGATATCGAAGTGCGTTTACAAATTTTAAATTGAAAAATTTGATTTTTGAATAAGGTTTAATATCATTTTTTGTTTGTTTTTTGACAGATTCTCTCATACTTGGATTCAGTTCTCCCAGACAAACGGACATCAACTGAAAGTTTCCCCTCAGGGTAAGATCGAAAAACACAGCTTCTCTTGTACTTCTGTCAACACTTTCATCTTTTTGGCAGATGCACTCTTTGAAAACAAGATAAAAAACTAGAGTGTGATCGTACGCAACTGTGGTGCATTGACGTGAAATGAGCCCACATCCAGTTTTTTGATTGACCTGTTGTATTGATGGAGTGTGACAGACTTTGTTGTAATTATTTTGCCGTGGAGATGAAAAACGCTTGTGTGACACAAACAGTAAACCTTGTCTGTCATTGCAGTCTCCCTAAATACCACTGACCACATGCTCACACTGTCATTTTTTTGCTGTTTTGCCACCTTTATAGCATTCAAAAAAGGTAAAATGCAAAAAAAGGCATGCTTCAGGGAAAAAATATGTATGTTTACACATGTTTCCCATTCTGTGTCGGTCAGGATGAGACCTGGTATGGCCATTGCTCATAGCGCAGCAGGAGTACTCTAAAACCAAGGCAAAAGCGGTGAGTAAAAGCAATCTTTAAAGTGCTTATTTGCATGTTCAGTCTGTCTGTCTCGGCCATAATTGATATGTCCTCTCAAAAATCACTTCCATTATATATTCCATCAACCACATCCTGAGAGGAGCGTTAATAACGAGGAGTCCGGGACCTCTTAAAGATTCTTGATGCATTATGATAGTCAAGAGAGTCCATTTAGTTTCTGACGGCCTTGGCGGTTGTGGGGTTTCACGTTAAAGGCAGTTGAAGTCAAGATAAATGTATTATGGTGCATAACCCAGCAGGTAAAGGTTTGAAGCATGTTATCCAGCTCCCTCCGTTGAAGCCCTGATGATGGTTTTGTCACCAAGTAAGTAAAAAATACGCATAAGGAATCCCACCGTCTGTAAGAATGTGACTGCTGATTATGTGGAGGTTGTGGTCACTGTCATTAGCGATGTAGACATTGCCAGACGGGCGGCTACAGTTGCGAAGGGTAAAGACTAAGACCTGCACCTATTCAAGGCAGTTCACGCAGAGGGCAAGTTTAGGTCATGTTTGATTATTTGATTAAGAGATTTGTTGACTTTTTAAGGGTCCTGATATTAGTTACTGTAGGTACTCAGTTGTTATTATAATTTTTGTTCGGAAGGGATAAAAAAATGGAATAAAAAATTAAAAACTGTGGAACACAATAGGAGAACTGTTGAAGAATGTACTGGCCAATCTTCAACATATAATGAATTGGGGGGAAGCACTATAAAAATATTATAAACGTAGTGCCATGAAAATTACTCTTTTTGCAACAAACAGATCAACAGTTAAGTCATTATCTATTAAAATATGGTGCCTTTAGATACTATATGTAAAGTTTGATCACAAAGAAGTTTGTTTAAATATGTAGAAGTTCGAATGAAATACATTTCTTGAATGGTCCCCTGAAACTTTATTGGTGCAACCTGTATCCTCATTAATTTATATGGAAAAGAGTCGAAAGTACATTTTGGAACATTTCTCCACTTGAGTTCCAAGGAAAAATTAAGTAATACGGGTTTGGAACGACTTAAGAGTGAGTAAATGATGAAAGATTTTTTTGGCCACTTTTTGGGTAAAATTTCCTTTTAATAATTAGTGTACAAATAATGATTTAGAAAAAATGGTTATGCTATATTATGTAGAGAAAATCTTTAGAAGTTGGTTAAGCACCTAATCTACGGGTGATTTGGTATGATTCAGTCAATGCACTTGTATTTAAAAAAAAATTAATAAAAATGTTTTTATATATATGTTAATCTGAGCTAAGAAAGTTTCACATTGCGCTAGCAATAACAGCCCACACTTTGCTGTCGATTTGCTAAAGTCAGTGGAGTCCAGCGCTCAGCTCGGCTCGGTAGAGAAGTGTCCATCAGTGAGGCTATTCCAAGCCATTACTCTGCCTTTGAGGTGCGGGACTGATTAAAGTTTGCATTTGCTGAAGAGGTTGCGTGGCTTGGCTTCAGGCAGGGGCTGAATCCCCAGAAGTCACTGCCTCACAAGGCTAACCAAAACCCGGCTCCTCTCTCCCCACCTTAAAGAGATTTGAATAGTAGTTTTTAATTTGAGTATCCACTTAAATCTTCAAAGATGAACTCTTAAAGCATATCTGTTCTGGAACAGAAGTCCTCTGATCAGTGCATAAAAAAAAAAAAGTATAATTGCTGCCCAACTTCACACCGCCAATGCACACACATTATAAAATCTACAGCAATTAAGCATATCTCACCCGAGTTTAAAGACGAGGAATGGCATGGCTCAATCTTCGGTTGGACGGACTTGCGTGTTCTTTGCTTTGAAAATTGATTTCTTGTTCTAGTAGAACGCCTGTCAGTTCCATCTAAAATGGCTCCGAGAGAGCTCGTTCACTCCCCAGAGTCGAGAGTAACCTCCATGGGGCTTTGCTCTGGACACTCGGAGCCGAGAGCTCGGAAGGATATCAAAGGAAACCGGGCTCTGTCTCCATTGGAAGGTCTCATTGTGTGGCTGATTTGGGATTGGAAAGGGAAGGTGGTTGCGGATGGAGATGAAGCGAAGCCCGGTTCCTCCTAATCTTTATCCCCCATTAACCACCAGAACCCAAGCAGCTCCTGGGATAAGGTCACTGGTCAATCCCCACATTTTGATCGAATATTTTAAACTTAAGACATTTTATGATGGATGGAAAAAAAGTTGGTAAAAAAAAAAGTCCATCAGAGGTTCACTTCATGGTTCTAGTCTTTCTCTTCTTCTTAAACTCGATTCGGTTCATTGTTTTGTCTCCATATTAGAAAGAAGGATTTTTTTTTTTTTTGGATTCTGCCCAACTTTCCATATTCCCGTTAAGCTTGGTTTGGGAAAGGGCTCATGAAGCCATGCTGTGAGCAAATTGGAGCTTGAGTAGCGCCTTGTCTTGCCCATTCACACATCTTTTTTCGATTTTTCGATTAATCTTTTTTTTTTTAAATGACGTCGATTTGATATCGATTCTCAAAAGCCGCGAATCGATCTTTGATGACGCTCGCGGTGTTTTCAGCTTCTGCCATCTCACTATATGATGATATGAACACGAATGTCATCTCCAGCTGCGCTGAGAGTCACTTCATTAGCATTTTACCGTTACATTTGAGAAATCTACCATCATATCACATACACAGCAGCTGCGAGTTCCTCACGGCAACCAGTCAAAATAAAAGTTTAGTTTAACGTTAAGAAACTGTCAGAATATATTACTATTTAGCAGTCTTAGGAATCAATGCTACTACTGCTAATACATATTAATACATCTTTATTTTTAAAGGAATAATCACTTCTGTTTTCTTTTAAATTTTAACAGTAAACCATGTAATAAAAAAAATAGAAATCGAATCGAATCGGGACATCTGAATCGATACCCAGCCCTAAACGTGATGATAAGAGGTTTGCAAAGTAAACTGGCAATAACGGTGGCGCCTTCGTTCCCTCACTTCCATGCATTCAGATCCAGATAAAGCGAAAAGCTACATGCTAATCTTTCTCAGTGGCATCTAGACAGCTTTATTTACTCGCATCCTAAAAGACAGTGAGACAGAAGGAAACAAATTGAGGCCAGTTTGAAAAAATAGAGCAGGAGTTTGTGGACAATGGACAGTTGCCCCTAGAATAGAGTTACAAAAGAGAGTCTGCCATCATTCCTGATAGAGGAGACAGACCGAGTCAATGAGGTTATTGATCCAGCAGGAGTGCTATGCTAATCAGCCGTCTGAATGGGCCGAGAGTCAGTGTCCTTCACTGCGACTTCTACTTGGTTTACTGGTCTTTTTAGTCTCTTAATACATACCCAGTAAGTTTGATGTGCACAACTCTACGTGGTTTGTGTAGAAGCTATAAGCGCTGGAATGTTTTCAAGTGGTGGGATGATTGTGAAACGAGACTTTTTGACATCAGAATGGTCTGACACAAGTCTGACCCCAGCGGTCCAGGTGGTGGGAATTAGTCAGACACTTTGCTTGCAGGTGATCATGTCCAATGCATTGGTCTCATGCCGTCTTGTCCCAGGAGCATATTTTGAACTCCCCGTGCGGTCATGAAATGGATCGCGGTGTAGAATAGACATGGGTGGATTAGGAATGAATGGGCACAGATTGAATATATGAGAATGTGAGTCCAAATACCAATTTCTGCCAATTTCATTGTTAAGAATGTGTATTGAAACAATCACGAGACCGATTAGAAACTTATGTTCGGACAATTGTCACATCAACTCCAATTGAGTTGACTAAACTAGGATTATGACACGAAACAAGCAATGGAAGCTGCCATTGGTTTCTTGCAGCCAATTTATTCAGAGGCTTTGAACCAACTGAGTATGAAGGATTTTGGCCTCCTGTGGAGTTGTAAGACTCCTAGATCATGTGAATAATTGGCCACAAAAAGGATCAATTTAAATGTAAATTAGATTAAATTAGTTTAGTCATATTTTGTGTGTGTGTGTGTGTGTTTTATAAAATGTGATTCTTCTCAGAAGAATTCCAGTATTTCAATGCATTTCTCGTATTTGATATTTTATATAAACGGCTAATGTTATTTTCGTCTGAAGAAAGAAATATTATACGTTAACAGAGTTCTCCCCCGCCATACTTTGATAGCGCTGTTTTGAAATGCTTTCTCCATTTGAACGCTTTGTCTGGCTTCATTCACAGGAAAAGCATTACTACAAAAGATACAAGCCCACCACTTTGTTCTTCACGATAATTTGATTGTGGCTTGAAAAGTGATCTTGCGGAAGGATTGGTACTAGAGCCTGGAATTTGGCTTCCCCACCACAAACCGCAAGCCTGTACAATCAAACTGTCACGGTTATCTGCTTTGATAGATGGTGAAACTGTTTGTTGTTGGGACGAGAGCAACCAGATTTGGGTCACATGTCCGTCTCAGGCTGGAATGTGTGTGTCGGCGCGACCGTGCTGCCAAATCCAAGAGTCTCTGATTTCTCTTCATGGCGCACGCTTCACTTTTGTAACCCTCTCTCATGAAAGCCGTGCCTCTGGGCCAATTCTGCGGTCACACTACCTGATTCTGAGGCTCGTGGAGTGATGTTGAGTGCTGAAGCCAGAGGGAGTCATGTGAGAGAGATTCCGTCTGCATAAACATGCACTTGTTCTATGAGAGAGACCAAACAGACAGGGCGTCCCTCAGCCCACCTCACCTGTGAAGGCTTTTCAAATCTCTTTCACTCTCCTTTCCTGTCTGTCTCCCTTTTCCTCTTGTACTTCTCCAGCTGTTTCCTGCAAGTCCTGTTAAATGAAACTCTCAGAGAGCAGTCTTTTTCTATCATTCTGACTGGTGAAGAGGAATTAAGTTAAGCCTAATGTCGATTACTGCAGAAAAAAATTATTTAGACTTTTAGGTAAAATTCTTGAGTGTGGTGCAGTGCAATCAACATCAAAATGCACACTTTTCGAAAGTATCCACCTTTTTCTTGCCGTAAAAATGGGTGCGGCCATTTGTAAATTCTATGGGTCTAGCTTCCGGTCTCATCCGTATCCAGCTATTTTTAGCTGTACAGAACCGCTCCTTTTACTGCTTGATATTGAAAAATGGTGTCTTACCATATTATTTTAATGTATTACCTTAATTATGAACACACTGGTTTGTAGTGCAAACAGTTTTACCGTTTACTGAACATTGTTATTCTTCTCGTTATTTCCCTATAGCTGCTAATGAACCAGAAGTCTCACCCATAGGCTTACTTCCGCATTGAAGAAAAAGTTGGATAGCCACTAATTCAGTTGCTGGATTTTGAATTTGAATCTTAGGATGTAGAATAAAATTTACTGAAATTCACAGAAATTCATGTAACTGGAATTTTTTAGTAGAAAAGCCAAGACAAAACTTTTGAATGTTGGTTTTACAGCCTTGTTTGAAAGTTTTGTGTAAAAAGCCTTGAAGTTTGAAGGTTTATTGACCGGATGAATGGATGGATGGATGGATAGACAGATCCATTGCTGTTAATTGTGAATTGTTTGTTTTTATGAACTGGGGAACAATTTGAGTTGAATTTCTGTTTAAATCAAAATTAATTCCACAGATATTGTTGATCGAGTATTTAAGTTTAATGTAAGTAAAATGAGTTTCGTTTACACTTCACTTCTTTCTCATCCGATTCTGCTGCTTTTCCATTTGTTTTCTTCTAATGTTTCTCTTATGCTTTCTCCAGACTTATTTTCATCACTTAATTCTCTCTTTCTTTCATTCATAGCTTTGCTCACCCTGTTATTAGATGACTTTCTCTCTCTCTCTCTCTTGCCTGTCTGCGGCATGTTGCACCACACACACTTACACACACACAGAGCTGGATGCAGACTGACAGGGCTGCCACAGGACTGATTGAAACTCGTGTCTCAAAGTTGCTAATGCTCACTGAACCATTTTATTGAAGATAAAGTAAATAAAATAGGTTGCCTTATGAGAATTCACTGAAATAGATCAGAATGATCTAGAAAACACACTCGCACACACGGTGAGCAGATGCTCCTCTGATTGGTTCACAGATTCCAGGCGAATGGCTGGAATGAGCAGTTTTCTGGAGGTATGGGAAAGCTAGGAATTTCACAAGTTCAATGTTTTTTGAGAGGCCTGAGAGAAAGCAAACGGCTCAATTTAAATCTCTTTCTAAGGAATGACTTTTATAAATATACTTGAGGTGTATACCACAGAGCTCGGTCATTGCTGCCAGGTGATGTAATCCAGAGTTTCTGTTTACTTGGTTTAAGTAGTTTTGAGGAGCTATACAGTTTGTTGGTACTACACAAGTTATTTCATGAAAGGGCCAGAGATTTTTTGATGTTTTTGGCTGTACACCGAAGGATTTTCACCACATAGTGTAATTTTACACTGTACTATAGAGTATTAAAATTACAGTTTACCGTCTAATGGTAAATTCAATCTGCTATATGTCCACTTTTCATAATCCAATCAATTCCTGATATATGAAATAAAAAAGACATATATATATATATATATATATATACATTCACAGTGTATATCACATTGTAAGTGAAATGAATTGCGAATACCATTGCATATTGACTTTAAAGACAATATGATGTTAAAATTTGACTTTATTTACTTTATTAATACATTTTAATTTATTATTATAATATTATAAAATAAATAGTCTCATTTCCCAATATGTCAGTGTTTGCAAAAATATTTTTTGTATAGTCACAAATTTCTTAAAATTCAAAATGTTTCTCCACTTCTGAAGCAACTGTATATTTATATAAATGAAAGTGAAAAAGTGACGTGACATGTGGCCAAGTGTGGTGAATTAGTGCTCTGCATTTAACCCATCCAAAGTGCACACACACCGTGAACACACACCCGGAGAA